GGGGCAATATGCTGACTCTGTAAACCGCTTAGAGAGGGCTGAAAGCCCTATGAAGCGGTATATAAGTCTAACTGCTATTGCTATTGCTAACTGATCACGGGCTGCACTCAGTCAGGTGGCCCTCCCCTGCATCCTTCGGCCTTACCTTTGGCAGTAGCGGTGTGATCGCAAGTGCAGCTCAACCGGTGAAATAACTAACCGGGAGTGCAGCTGGAGTGGGGCTGATGGTGAGGGGCAGAGTGAGGCTGAATCCCACCACTCCACGGGCTGGATACTTCGCATTGGTGGGCAATATCCGGCCCATGGGCCGTAGTTTGAGGATCTACGTATTAAATTCATCATCCTTGATCTCAATTAGTGGCTATTTATACACTGAGGTTGCTCAGCTCCATAGATATTACTTTTATATATGCCAAACCTCGATAACAGGCTTCACAAATCCTGTGCTGCTGTACTATTGGTGGGACCTCTCTGCTACAAGCTGCATGCTCTGTATATTAGGTCTTTTTTGATTGCTGTCTCTGTGGGTCTCCTGTATACACAGGACATCACAGCTATTTTTGGCACAAGTCCCGCAACAGTTCTTCCTTACATTCAATATTTACTGAAATAAATAGTCATCTATGGACCTGAAAAGGTCCTTTGTGGGACACACATATTATCACAGATGGGAATGAGCAACCCCCTATACTCATGAAAGGTGCTTCTCTGAAGAATGTGACTCCCTGAAGAATGCCTGCTGTTAACATATTTGAATGTCCCTGGGCGACAGTTTATAGCTGGCTAATCCTTTTAATCCAGAAGCATCCAAAGCATAGGGAGGTTCTCATTACCACCTGTAACACTTTCAAGTGTTCATAAGTTTTTGAGGGGTAACTTATTCATGAGAATTACAGTATATTCCACTTTTCCTTTAGAAGGTCTAATTGGTATACATAGCACCTCTTCCGCCAATTTCTTTCTTTTTTTTTTTTTACCACCAGAATCCTATCATACGGATTGATCTGAGGAAGTGTGACTGGTCCAAAGTCATCCAGTGAGCTTCTGTGACTAAAGTCAGAACTGGATATACAGTAACTTTCAGGGTCTAGTCCAGCATTTCCACACTGGCTCACCTGGTCATTTTGAATGTGATCTGTTTACAAAGACTAGAACTTTCAATTTATGATAATAAGAAGCTTAATTTTGCAATAAATATTAAGCCGGTATAAACTCTTCTCAAACCATTTATGGTAATTGAAAGTACTATGACAGTGTTTCTCAACCTTGGCAACTTGAAGATGTCCGGACTTCAACTCCCAGAATTCCCCAGCCAGCATTCGCTGGCTGGGGAATTCTGGGAGTTGAAGTCCGGACATCTTCAAGTTGCCAAGGTTGAGAAACACTGTACTATGAGATCATCTGTATTTAGGAGTAAATAAAAGATTTTTGGTTATGTTCAGAAGATAGAAAAGTGGATCATTGGAAGGTTTCAACTATAGAACTAAAGTAAAAGTTCAACTTCAGTAGGGACAATGCGGATTCCTGCTTCATACCATTCATTTCTTACGGAAATATAACCTATGGGCTATTATCATATAATCCTTATCTACAACAATTCCTTTGCACAAAACCTTTCTCAGCATCTGAATGTTATTTTAAAATTAACAGTCATGTATAAATTCCCTTAGATCTGGCTTGATTTGTCTTAAGATGACTTATTCCAGGCAATGGCAAGTAGCAATAGCAGTTAGACTTATATACCGCTTCATAGGGCTTTCAGCCCTCTCTAAGCGGTTTACAGAGTCAGCATATCGCCCCCAACAATCTGGGTCCTCATTTTACCCACCTTGGAAGGATGGAAGGCTGAGTCAACCCTGAGCCGGTGAGATTTGAACCGCTGAACTGCAGATAACAGTCAGCTGAAGTGGCCTGCAGTACTGCACTCTACCCACTGCGCCACCTCGGCTCGGTTAAATGTATCATTGGCTCAAAGTGTTCATGTATTAGTTATTTATACTGTTGCTCAAGCCTTAAAATGTTCAACATAGACAAGGGACACAGTTTTATAAACAGAATATGACACTAACCTCACTCTGTCAGTGTTGTATATGAGTGACTCATTTTCCTTTTTCCAGAAAATCTGAGGTGGAGGCACACCTGAAACCCGGCATTCCAGTCGCACAGGAAACCTCTCAGCCACTCCTGTGTTCTGTAGTTTCTCTATAAATACAGGTGCCTTGTGTGCTTCCTTAGCTGAAGAGACAGAGATCCCCCCCACCACATCAGTATATATTTTGGGTTGTGTTCTCTTAACATTTCTTAGCACTAGGGGTACCTGACAGAGAGAGGTATTTGGAAAATGAAAATGTCATTTATTTGCTGCTACCTAATGGGCTGAGGAAGATGCAATGTTCCCACTTGTAATATTTTGCCATAATTGCTGATGGTTCCCCTATAATGAAGCACAGCATCCAAATATTTCAGCTTGGCTCTGTTTTCCCATTGCAAGTGATTAAGCAAAAGCTGATGTAGAAGTCAGAACTTTTAATTATATCCACAGACAGTCCCATTTTCTCACTTTCCGATCAACTTCAAACTTTGCTTTCTGATTCTTTTGGGGAGGCAATAAGATCTCTCAGTGTAGATGTAACAGACTGCTATAGTTCCTTGTTAATTTCCGGGGGGAAATGGCACTTCTACCAATAAGAAAGCAAGCAGGGATTCATTCAGTTTGCACTGCTCATGGAACAAGGAGCTAGACTTCTTAGCAATTTGAGGTTTCTGTTATGCCTGAATATGGCCAGGATTTCATAAAAAAACAAAAACAAATCAAGAGATTTTTTTTCTCTTATCAAAATTTATCTATTTTTCTAATAGATACCTGCAGACAAGCAAACAGGCCAAGAATAGTTTTTCATACCTTCTGCAGGATATAGTGCTATTGATGTATTTCTTTCACAGGCCTTTTAAAATATTCTAACTTTGGAGCTAATTTACATGAATGGCTCCCACATAACAGATATTCTAACCACTGCAGACAATGGACAATGGCTGGCTTCAAGGCTCTTTTATCTATAAAAGTGAGATCAACTATCTCCAAGATCCAGTTTGATGTGCATGACTCAGATGCTTCCCATTGGTTCCTTTACATAATCACATAGCAATATGGATGCTACTCACATAAAAGCTAGTTTTAAAGATCCCCCAAAATAAATGTATTTGCATTTCAGACAAGTCATTTGCTGCTTACAATTGGAATAATACAGTAATGAATGCAAATCATCAGTTGGAACACAATCCACCCAGATCTCCTAAACATTGGTTACGTAGTTCCAAAATAGTGATGGCAGCATAGATTATATTCATCCCTTTTGGTGATCTACATTCATTCAGTTATAAGAGTGAGGCTAATTTTCTTGCTTCTTGCATGATAATGCTTTATAAAAAGGTCTCAGCTGGCAGCTCCAATGTGCCAGACTGCAACTCATTCATAAACTATCTCCCAATACACACCTTAGGCACCCTTCAAGATAGTCATCTACCATCTTCTGTAATATGGGCTTTTAATACTACTATACTTACAGGATGTTACAAAGTATAAAGAGAATGGGTAGCATAATATTGCTGATTAGGTTTAAAAATAACCAGGAAACTTTTGTCAAATGGCAAAATATGTGCTAAAAAGAATTATAAAGGAGCCACAGTTGAACCTTATGTTCAGGCACTCAAATCCATTTTTTCAAATTATGTAAGTGTCCTACCTGCCACAATCAGTTCCAGGCTGAAAGTGTTCTGGCCAGCTCGATTAGTGGCATGACATGTATAGATGCCAGCATCCCTTGCTGTGACTGGCTCTATGATTAAGGAGTGTATACCATTTTCCCGTACAAGCATTTTGTGGGAATTATCAGAACGTATTACTCTTCCATTAAGTTGCCAGTTGATGTCAGGAGTAGGCAAGCCACTGACCTTAAATAAAATACACCACAGTCCTCAGGAAAGCGAAAGTATACAAAGAATGTAGAAAAACTGTTGACAAAATGTTTCAGTGCACTGTATTCTGTTACCCCAGAAGATCAATGGATAAAAATTCCGTGACCCGTCAAAACCGCGGNTTTCGCTTTATTTTTACATTTTTCGATCTTTTTCGTCGCGCTGTGATGACGTCACATACGCGATTTTGTCGTCCGCGGTTTTGTGGTACAACCCATAGTTACTGCTATTAAGCCTGGCTTCACCCAGTATACAGTATATGTGTACTTTTGGTTTGTCTTGCCTAAGTGTAAGACTTTAGTTTTCTCTACATTGAATTTCATTTTGTTACATAGGGCCCAGTGTTCAAGTCTGTCAAGATCCATCTGGATCTTTAGCCTATCTTCTAGGGTGTTAGCTATTCCTGCCATTTTAGTATCATCTGCAAATTTGGTAAGCTCCCCTTCTATTCTCTCATTTAAGTCTTTTATGAAGATATTGAAGAGTACTGGGCCTAAGACAGAACCTTGTGGTACCCCACTGCTTACCTCCCTCCATATAAACATAGACCCCCTTAAGGACTACTCGTTGAGTATGGTTTATCAGCCAGTTACGAATCCATCTGGTGGTGATGCTATCGATCTCACTTTTTTTTTTAGCTTACCAAGAAGTAGGTTGTGGTCTACTTTGTTGAATATTTTGCTGAAGATTAAATATATTACGTTCACAGTATTTTGCTGGTCTACTAATTTAGTCACTACATTGAATAATGAAATAAGATTGGTTTGGCATGATCTGCTTTTAACAAACCCGTGCTGATTGCTAGTTATTACTTTACTCATTTCTAGATGTTGACAGATCAGTTTTTTATTATCTTTTCCAGTATTTTCCTGGGTATTGATGTTAGGCTGGTTGGTCTGTAGTTTCTTGGGTCTGTTTCCCCCACCTTTTTTTCTCTTTTTGAAGATGGGAAGCACATCAGCTCTTTTCCAGTCCTCTGGAAGTTTCCTGGTGTTCCAGGATTTTTGGTACAGTGATTCTGAGATGACATCTTCCAGCTCCTTTAGAACTCTGGGATAGAATCTGTCAGGTCCTGGTGATTTGTATTCATCAAGATCAGACAGGTGTTCTCTTACTATTTTTTTGTTTAACTTTTATTTCTAGTCTGTCTTTTATAGTTATGTTATTGGTAGGTTGGGCTATAGTTTCTTTTTGCGTAAAGACCAATGCAAAGAATGAGTTAAGCAGCTCTGCTTTCTCTCTGTTGCCTATTACTTCCTTGCCCTCTTTAGTGGACCAACTGTTTCCTTGATTTTTTTTCCTTGTTGTTATATGTTGGAAGAAACTTTTTTTTACCTTTGACTTTTGTCGCAAGTCTTTGTTCATTCTGAGCCTTGCTTTTACTGGTTTCATCTTTGCAAGTTAGGGCTATTTGCTTATATTCTGCCTTAGTTGTGTGTTCCTCTTTCCATTTTTTGTACTTGTCATTTTTTTTNCTCCAGAGGCTTTATAGGAGCCTGGGGAGGGCGAAAAGAGCCCCCCTCCTCGGAGGCCTTCCGGATGCTTCAGGAGCTTTCCTGAAGCATCCAGAGGGCTTCCAGGAGATGGGGGGCTCTTTTCACAAACCGGAATTTCCGAACCGGCAGGAACCCACCTCTGATAACAACAAACTGATAAAAGTCCTCTAGAAGAAAGAAATAAGACCAGCTGTGTAAAAATTGCCTTCCCTTCCCTTGCTATACTATAATGGGCTGCTGAGAATGTCTTCCTGATAGTGTGTCTTTCCCCCTGTTTCCTACGGAGGGGAGGGGGGAGAAATTTGGATAACCCAGACAACTCATACTAAAGGTTGCTTTTTTTTCCTGTTCATTTGGTTACTTCGGGTCATTTTTTAACCTGTCAATGGGGTTTTCATGGCAAAGATACTGGAGTGGGTTGCCATTTCCTTCTCCAGTGGATCACATTTTGTCAGGGCTCTCTGCTATCACCTGTCCATCTTGGGTGGCCCTGCATGGCATCGCACATAGCTTCATTGAGCTACGCAAGCCCCTTCGCCACGACAAGGCAGTAATCCATGAAGGGGATAAATTCATATGTACATTTTAAAGAAAAAGTGAAGATACTGTTTGTGGTACTGTGCTTGAGCAACACATATTGGTACATATAAAGAGATTCCTCTTCTCATGATGTACTGGTTTCATACTAATACCATTTTCAAACTACACTGTGTGCACAATTATTAGACAAGTTGTATTTTTGAGGATTAATTTTATTATTGAACGACTATAGTGCTCTCTGCCAATCTAAAATGTTAATAAACTTCAAACCTGCATATTTAAGAAAGTAAAAGTGAGGTTTTGGCTTTCTTAAGATAATATCTATTTGGGCACAATTATTGGGCAACTATTAGTGTGCATAATTATTATGCAACTAAATGACAAATGAAAATTTACCCATCTCACTTGTTTATTTTAACAGATATTTAACAGATTAACAGAGTGGGAAGGGACCTTGTAGGTCATCTAATCCCACCACCTGCCCAAGCAGGAGACCCTACACTATTTCTTACAAATGGTAGTCCAAATTATTCTCCAAAGCCTCCAGTGATGAAGCTCCCACAACTTCCGAATGCAAGCTGTTCCATTGTTTGATGTTCTCACCGTCAGAAAATTTATCCTTAATTCTAGGTTGATCAGTTTTGATTGTATCGTTCTGTTAATGCAGTTTAGGATTGCACTGGCTTTTTTGGCTGGTGCCGCACATTGCTGGCTCATATTTAGCTGGTTGTCCACTAAGACTTCAAGATGCCTCTCATAGTTACCGTGACCCATCAAAACCGCGTTCCACAAAAGCGCGGTCGACGAAATCGCGTATGTGACGTCATCACAACGCGACGAAA